ACATTGGTAGGGTCTAACTTGGGGTCATCCGCCATGGAATCATCTTCTAGAAGGTGTCTTATTTCTTCTGGGCAAAAGAGTGAACATGTTGGTGTTTAAAATGCCTTGAGGGAAGCCGGTGATCCCAGGTCCATGAGGCCAAAGGGAAAGCTGTTAGGAAACAGAGTCCTCTCTAAGAGAAGTTCAGGGGTGAGCAGAGGCTCTCCTTACATATGCAGTGACTGGAAATGTGGATAGGGACAGGCGGGGAGGAGAGCAGACACAGACAATGACATACCTAAGTCCCTGCCAGAGCCAGGGAGGGAGCAGGAGTGAGGGGCTGTCAGGGTGGTCAGGGAGGGTTGGTTGGGGCAGGACTCAGAACGGAGTGTTCGGTGCTGGTGAACTTCAGGCAGGACTCTGCCGAGGAGTGTGGTTGGCTGGAGACCCGGCAGCGCGTCTGTACTTCTGCAATGTGCCACCGCTTTCTGATTCTGCACAGAACTCGTCTGCCCCATAGTTTCATTTCTCAGCACTAGGCTGTCTTTTTAAGTGTTTGGGTGGAAATTAAACAGCAACCAACATGTCACTGCCAGCTCTGGACAATAAGCCTCTAAATTAAAACATGAGACTTCATTCTGTGTCGGTTTTGCCCTGGAGATGAAGGCCAACCTGGCTTCCCATCCTAGTTCCATCTTGCAGGATGGGGGTGGGGACAAGCTGCTGTCAGTGCTAACATCCAGGAAGCCCAGCACCCCTGAGTCATGGCAGAAGTTCATCTTAGACACCAGCATGCCCCTCAGAAAGCAAGGGTAGCCCACAGAAGCACAGGCGTATGTTCACCCGGAGAACACCCTCTCTCAGGGCCATAGAGAAATCACAAACTTGATTGAGTAGAGGGTGACATGTCTGTCCACGTGATGGATGAGAGCAGTCAGGACTGGCCGCATCCCCCAGCATGATTCCCATGAGCATCCTGGTGAGAGAAATGTGTCACACACCTTCATGTCCTGTGGGGATCATTTATGTGAGGGGCAGAAACAGGTGAAACTCACCACAGGATGACAAGCCCAAGACTGTGGTCACATTGGAGGCTAGTGACCAGGAGGGGCACTAGGTAGCCTGAGGGGCTGGGTCTCACCTGGGGCTGTTCTGGGTGCTGATCTCATGGTATTTAGATTGTGTCTGTGTGTGGGGGGCGGGGGGAGACAGACTGACTACCCAGCGCTCCAATAGTGGGAGTACTGAGCAGAGCTTGCTGGGGACAGAGCTGTCGTCTGACAAACTTGAGGTTTGTGGCTAGCACCCTTTAAGAGTAATGGGAAGAACTTGCTCATGATATGCTTTTGACTATTCACAACAATGTTTAGGCAGAGCCAAAATCAATATGGCCTTTTGGCTTTTAGCCCAGCACTTAACTCTCAGGATGGGGCTAGCTTTGTAATGCTGATAATCCAGAGAAAATAAGCTTTTTAGATTCCATAGAGAGACTGATATCTTCCAGTTATGCAAATGCAGAGAATCGTATTTCACAAAAGACATCCTGCAAAAATATAATCTGTGAGTGATGAATGTTTAATTAAGGGAAATGATAAATCTAGCATTGATGGGAAAGCGTGTTCACCCTCAAGAGTCATGGTCTTCTTGATGGGTCTCTGTCACATCTTCTACTAGTTTTACTGTGGTCATTTGATGGCTGATTGCTCGTCTTTATTGTTTTCTTGTTTTTCTGTCGTTCTGTGCAATCTTACCCAGGGGAAGGGAGAGGAAAAAATGTGAGCTTGCATAGCGTTGTCTATTGTTCTATCTCCAGATTTGGCCATTTTAAAGGAACTCATTTCCCTCCCCCCCCCCACCACTTCAAGGCAAAATCCAAAGTGTGCAACACTTTCAAGGGAGTATTGAGGTGTATAAAATGAGGTGTGGGGTTAATGTGGAGGAAACCGCAACACAGGAGACAAGAGGAGTTAGCTCAAAAACAGTCTGAATTATCAAGACCTACCCGCATTACCTGCACTGAGTCCCCAGGCACCAGCATGAGAACCAGGGTTTGTCTCAGTGTGTCATTTTCTGGGGCAGAAAACCCTGGTGGTGGTGCGGATTGCCCAGGGACATTTTGAGATAAACCTGGACGCGGAGGTGTCTTGGACAGCACAACTGGTAGCCTGGAGGGGAGGTGGGTGGGACATGGCAAGGTCCCTAGGATCGATTCAGCAGCAGCGTGGGGATGGCTTGGGCCCAGCATCCACAGGACACAGTGCCAGGGCCCGTTCCCCTCACCATGCAGAGTGGGGAGTGTATCCTCCAGTCACTCTCTCAGGTAAAGAAACAACTAGACAAGCAGACATAAAGGGCACAAGCCTCTGCTGAGCACCTGATCATGTACAAGATGCTGGGAAAGACACGGGGATATAAGGTCATCCAGGCAAAGCGTCCGTGTGTTCATGGGTTTGAACTGCTCAGAAAATTTCAGCTGCTTTTTATCATCTCTGCTCTTCTAAAGATTGCTGGCAATTTTTAAAAAGTGATATGCAGCCTCAGGTCAAGTTCACCAGGGTCAGAAAATGCTACAGAACAGGTAGAATGTGACTTGGGGCTTGAAGGACAGACAAGATTTGAATAAAAATCAGGGTTGGGGGCTGTGGGAAAGCTGCCCACGGAGTGGCTCTGCCTCCAGGAGAACCCCCAAGGTCCTGGCTGGCTGGGGAGCAGGGCTGGATGAGACAGCCCTGGGGGTTGGTTAATGAGAGACATGGAGAGACCTGGGTAGGTGACCCCTCCTGTCCTTCATCGTCAGCCCAAATCCAGAGCTGGGCTGCTTTCCTTTCTGAAGTCAGAAGAGGGCTTTGGCCAACATATAAAGGCTTCTGCCAGCATGTGGCATTCAAGCTGACCTTGACCCAAGCCCTCTGTGAGCCCAGACAGAGCTCATGGGGGGAGGGGCCCAGCAGTTCCAGGCAGAGCACAAATGTCAGCTCAGACAGCCTGTGGCTTCTAGAACAACCAACCCCTTCAGGCTTCAACACTCTGGAGGAAACCTCTGTGAAGAGGTCGTGAACCCTCTCTGCCCATCTGGGAAAATCTGACTTCCACCGTAATGTAGGGAGGCGAGGGCTTGGACAGATTGTGTGCCTGGAGGGTCACTAGGGTGTGGAAACATTTTAAAGCCACCTTGGCTTCTCAGCCCCACAAGGTAGCCTCAGTGCAAGCTCCTGCACCCTTCAAGGGACTGAGGCCCTCACAGGGCTTAGATTCATACACAGGAAGGAACTTATGGTGAGTGAGACCTTCACATTACACTGGACCCAAAAATGCAGAGCCCCATATTGTTGCCGAGAGATCCAAGCTTCTCTGAACCAGATGTAAGGCTGCAGCTTCAACACCAGGAGAGTAAAGCATCTTCGCTGGATATGCATAATGGGCCATTTTCAATCAACCTCATTTGGTCTTCATTAGATATTTAAATATTCAAATAATTCGAATTAAAAATAAGTGAGTCTAGAAAGATGTCACATGACCTCACGCGTATGCAAAAGCTAAAATGCTGATTTCATAGAAGCCTAGAGTAGAACAGTGATTACTACAGGCTGGGAAAGGGAGAGGGCAGGAGGAGGTTGGATCATGCGCACAAAGTTATAGTTGGATACAGAAATAAGTTCCAGAGTTCTACAGCACAGTAAGTGTCTACAGCTTACAACTATTCAATACATATTTTATAAAGAACTAAAAGAGAGGAATTCAAAACTCCCCAACACAGAAAAATGACAAATGTTTAAAGAGAAGGAAATGCCAATTACCCTGATTAGATCATGACACGTTGTCTACATGGGGGATCAAATCATCACACTGTACCCCATACAAATGTACAATTATCATGAGTTAATTACAACTTTAAAAAAAATAATAATTCTACTGAAAGCAATTTCTGCTTTAATAGTTGGGTCTGCATCATGGTCACTACACAGGATGCCAATCAAGATGACCACTGGTCAGGATTCAGTGGAGGAAGTATTAAAATTCAGAACCCCTCAAGGGCCCGTGCCTGGATTTGTTGCCTGGGTGACCCCACAGTGCTCTCAGATATGCGGTTTCTTCTGGCTCACAAGCATTGATTTAGTTTTGCTTAACATGCAGGCCTCTGATTTTTGTTTCCCCTTGAGGTGCTGGGGATGGAACAGAGGGCCTCGAGCATGCTCCGTGCACCCCCTAGCACTGAGCTACACCCCCAGCCCAGGCCTCTGCGTGTTGAACACCTCAAAGCCTGCATGGCTCCTCTTGCTGGTCCTTCTTCCCTAACCTCAGCACCAGCCCAGGTTGGCAGGTTTGTGCTCCTGCCTCACCAAGCTTTGAACTCAGGTGCACAGCGGCTGCCTGGTCCACACCCTGCCTTCAGCTGTTCTTCCTGTGGTGACTGCATGGTGGTCAGGCCTCAGGACTCTCTGCCAGGCACACCCAATCCCCTCCAGACCCCAGGGCAAGCTTTCCAAGGAAACATCAGTGCTTCCCACGATGTCACTCCAAATCTCATCTGAGAGGTCTTGAAAACTGAGCAGGCTTCATTCTGGATTCCATCCTGTGGTCCCTTTTGTGTGTGTGTGTGTGTGTGTGTGTGTGTGGATTTGGTTGGTTGTTTTTTGTTGTTGTTGTTGTGTTTTAGGGTTTTGTTGTTTTGTTCTGAGAAAATCTTGAATCCCTCCAGGTAACTGGGGGAGATGGTTTCCCAGCTCCCACGTGGTAGAGAAAGATTGACAGGGTAGCATCTCCTGGTGCATGAAAGTTTTCAAGTGGAACCTTTATTTGGGTCGGCAGGGTCACATGACTGCATTTCACACCTTGGTAACTCCAGACCCCAAAGCGCTTTCCCTCAATCACTTAGAAACTTGGCCTGTGTTTACAAACCCTCTGCAGCCCTGACCAGGCCAGCTGTCCAAATGCTTCAGCGTTTTCCTCGCGGAGGTTCCTTAGGTGGTGATCCAGCGCTTCATCCCGGGCTCTCTCCTTTCATCTTGTTGCAGGAGGCGGTGTGCGACATTCTTCCTGGACTCCTGCCTGCTCCCATTCCTCAAGCCGCGGCCAGCCGCAGTCCTGCTGGGCTCTTGAAATGAACGTTCCCCGAGCGCCCCCTGGTGGATTGTGGAGGTGACCGTCTGTCGATGCCCAGCGATGGCAACCGTGCTCCCTCCGGGTCCCCAGCCGGCCTCGGGGAATGAGACTCTGCAGGTACATTACAACTACGTGGGGAAGCTGGAGGGCAGGCTGAAGGACCCCTCCGAGGGTGGCAGCACGCTCACCACCATCCTCTTCTTGGTCGTCTGCAGCTTCATCGTCTTGGAGAACCTGATGGTTTTGATTGCCATCTGGAAAAACAATAAATTTCACAACCGCATGTACTTTTTCATCGGCAACCTGGCTCTGTGCGACCTGCTGGCTGGCATAGCCTACAAGGTCAACATTCTGATGTCCGGCAAGAAGACGTTCAGCCTGTCCCTGACGGTCTGGTTCATCAGGGAGGGCAGTATGTTTGTGGCCCTCGGGGCGTCCACCTGCAGTTTGCTGGCCATTGCCATAGAGCGGCACTTGACCATGATCAAGATGAGGCCCTACGATGCCAACAAGAAGCACCGGGTCTTCCTTCTGATCGGGATGTGCTGGCTCATTGCCTTTTCGCTGGGCGCCTTGCCCATCCTGGGCTGGAACTGCCTGAAGAACCTCCCTGACTGCTCCACCATCCTTCCCCTCTACTCCAAGAAGTACATCGCCTTCTGCATCAGCATCTTCATCGCCATCCTGGTGACCATCGTCATCCTGTACGCACGCATCTACTTCCTGGTCAAGTCCAGCAGCCGCAAGGTGGCCAATCACAACAACTCGGAGCGGTCCATGGCCCTGCTGCGAACGGTGGTGATCGTGGTGAGTGTGTTCATCGCCTGCTGGTCGCCCCTCTTCATCCTCTTCCTCATAGATGTGGCCTGCAAGGCCAAGGAGTGCTCCATCCTGTTCAAGGACCAGTGGTTCATCATGCTGGCGGTCCTCAACTCCGCCATGAACCCCGTCATCTACACGCTGGCCAGCAAGGAGATGAGGCGCGCCTTTTTCCGTCTGGTCTGCAACTGCCTGGTCAGGGGCAAGGGGGCCCGCGCCTCGCCCATGCAGCCGGCTCTGGACCCAAGCAGAAGCAAATCCAGCACCAGCAACAATAGCAGCCACTCCCCAAAGATCAAGGATGACCTGCCCCACCCAGCCGCCACATCCTGCATCATTGACAGAAACAGAGCACTTCAGAACGGGATCCTCTGCAAGTGACATCTCCTCGCGCCCAGCTCTGCAGCCAAGCTCTTATTTATTGCATGTGTCGCTTCCATGGGGACCCTTAAAGAGCTGAGACTCAGGACATCTACTTGATGTTGCCTGACAACCTGCCCAGGAGCCGACTCCTGAGAAGGGGACCCAAGGAATCACCAAACCATTTCAATAGACAGCGTGCTTTGTCTGTTTCGGGCACCAAACTACGAAGCTGCTGACGTCATCCACGGCCTTCTACTGAACTCTGGATGCCACATGCCATTGTTCACGAAGAGGGCAGGTCGGGGCTATGCGATGCACTGGGTGTTTCTCAGCGTGCCTCTGGATGACGTTTTCGTAACTCCACACTACACTGAATGGGTGCTTGTATATCTGTCCCTTTCTGTGTTGCATGGAATTCATGTTCCAGGCGTTTGCCACGTGGTGCCGACATAAAGTCTCAGTATCCCACGCAGTTAGGAAACCAGTCCTGCAAATGTGTTCTGACTGCAGCACCAGGTACAAGGACATGGGTGTGAATTAGGTGGGCCTCTTTAGATTGCTGTGAAGTCTCATGGTAAGCAAAAAGTTAAGGCCTAAATTCCCCAAATAAGGCTTGTCCAAGGCCAGCCCCAGATGTGTGGGTCTGACCCTAACTAGCCCTGTGTCCCTCTGGAGAACTTTAAGCACATCTAAAAGTGAGAGAGCACTTAATTTGGGGGGAGGTGGACTTGTGCAAGTCGCAGCCAGGATCTCCCAAGAGCCCGTGCGCCCCAGCTAACCAAAGAAACAGCTCATGAGGGAGGGGCAGGGTTTTCCCTCCATCCCGGTTGGCCTCACCAAGTCACGGGGGTGTGTGGTCTGCTTCATGTAATGGGGGAGTTTCCATTGGAAGGAGAGGGTTAGAAGACAGAACTCTGGTTCTAGGTCAAGTTTGGATTCTGCACTGGAAAAGTACAGAGTCAGTCATCTCCCGGGACTGTCACCTACGTCAGCAAAATCACAGCTTCCTGAAAGCAGACACTGATCCCAACTATTAGAGCAGCTTAATTGTCAGGTTAGAAAATGTGATCTGACAACTTATTCAGGCTTCAGAGAGATGCATTATAATACCTACATGATACTGTAATTTTATTTTTCAACACCAGTTGAACCTATATCACTGTGTTTACCTTTTAAAGGAATTACTAAGAAGCATCCTTGATCGTGTTCTTCCCCAAGGATCTTACATACAGTATACACAGAAGGAAAATGAGTTTGTGTGTAGGGCTGGCATAGATACACACTCTCTGTGCTCTTTGTAAAAACAAAAATCAAAAGCCACCTTCAGAAGGCTTCTCGCTTGGAGTAACTTCACATCAGCGCCCCCTACTGGTTTTTTTTCTTTTTTAGGGTTAGTGAGAATTTTGCCTTATTAATACCTAAAAAAGCAATCTCAACTCATGAATGACTCTTTGTTAGAGAAATTCCTTCCTGGCAAGTTGCTCTTATCAAGGAAGCTTTCTGTGGGTCCTGGGTAACCTGTACATACTGACCAAAGACCTTCCTCGTTTTTTGTTCCTGTTGAGATATTGGTAAGGAAATGCTCCACGAGGCCTGTACTGTTGCTGACTCTACATCACTGAAAAATAGCTTATTTGGTTATCAAATAGCATGAGAAAAGCCAGGGCATTTCTAGGAAAGCTTTATTGAAGGTTCTGGATTAAGAACAAGAACAATAGAAATGTATAAGGGAGACAAAATGCATTTTCACATAGGAAATGAAATTATTTGATCTGTCATAATGTGGAGTTGCTTTGGGGGCCTTGGGTCTCTCTGTCAGTATGCTGTGTCTTATGGTCACACTTTGGTCCATAACCGTGACTTCTCTAGTATCTGCGCAGGTCAGCTTTCATTCATCGACCCTCTTCGGGGGCCACATCCGTCACTCCCTCCAAGAGACACTATACAGGCTTCTTGGAGATGATGCAAAACTGTTAAGCCATCTGAATTTAAAAATACACTAAGAAAGTAATTATGCTCATTTGATATATACAAAAACCAACCACCTTCAATATCCATATGCACATTCCTAACAAGCTAACCAACTTCCTCACTAGAAGTTGAGTGTGTCAAAGTCGTAGCCCTGAAGTTTGGGAATAGGGTGATCTTATATGCCACAGAGAACCTGTGTTAGATCTCCTTGCAGTTAGTAACCTTTACTATTTCCAATGTATGTTTGTTAAAATAAATAAATAAATAAATAAAACCAAAAGGCCGCACGTAAACCAGTTTTGGGGAGTCCGTGTGGTGGGATTGTTTTCTTGTTTTCACCGGGGCCACCCCTCGGGGTGTTGGGGGAGTGGGCTGCTGCTCATTGGTACCTGTGCTTCTCAGCAACTTGGGGATAAGCAACACTTAGAACCCCAGATCACCTCTTCCCCCTAGACTTGCCCATTCTCATTCTTCACTGAAGCGTTGGTGGACCGGATGCTGTGTGCACCAATTCTGGCAGATTCTTCTGTGTTGAGGAAGTGACACAGGGGGCTCTTTGGATGGGAAGGAGATTGTAAGACCCATTGCAATAAAGACCGGCCCAGAGAGATGGGAAGTTTGGTTCTGCTCGGTTGGCTGTTATTTAAGCAAAGGCAGTGGGTAGTTCAGAATCTCCACTACAAATGGTAAGGCTCAGCCTCTCCCTTCTGTCCCATGGAAAGAGAAGCTGGTATTGAACATAAGTGTTCTGGTGGTGATGCTTGTCACAACTTACAATGAAGTGCCCCCTACACAACTAAGGACTGGAGCCCTCAGGCCCATCTGTCCACCTTCAGTTCTGTCCAAGGCAGACTAGGCACTAAATTGCAAAATTAACATAAACCTCCTAGAATGGCTTCTGCCTAGCCACCGTTTTTCCTTCCCAGGGGGAATAACTGAGAGTACTACTTTCTGGTGTGTGTGTGTGGGGTGGGGGGAGTTCCAAGTTGCCCTCCTCTCTTTTATGAGGCAGTACAAGATCCATCATCCAAATGAAAGAGACTTTTCTCAATAGCCTTTATTGCCAGCGGACTTACATTGATAGTCATTGAAACAATGAACTATTTTAAAAAATGGTTGTTTCGCTCAACCCTTCAGCCATAGTTACTCTGCGCTGGTTACAAGCCTTTCACAGAAATGTAACAAGGTGCATTTTATAGAAAACGTCTAATTACATTGGCAGTTCCATGCTTTTAAATTGTATCTACAAGTGCAAAACCTCGATGCCCAAATGTTTTTAGTATCTAAGTCAAATATTCAAAGGGGTTGCTGCGTAATCAGAAATGCACATACCACTATCCCAATAAGAAAGGCACGTTTTCTGATAACCAATTATAACGAGAAGTGCAGCGCCGCCTGAATTAGGTGTGTCACCTTGCACTCTGGGGTCATAGTGATGATTCCCAGGCTGCTGCGCCATATCCTACGCCTGGCGAGCCCAGAAGCACAGGCAAGCGACAGACGCGTGCGTGGTGATGTAGTCTAACTGGAAACCGCATGGTTTCCTGAAGAAGTTAATTGGATTCCTTGAAGGTGAGGAGGGAACCTAAGACAATTATCATTGCCTGTTAATTGTCAGATCTCCAAAACAGCCAATTAACTTAGGCTTTATGGTTTTTTTCAGAGAAGAAAGATTAGAAAACTTTTGGTTTTGTATTTCTGCTCCTCAGGGATGTTGGAGAAGCCAATTCCTTTCCAAACTCAGAGCCGGAAGGGCAAATTGGCCACACAACCAGACAGTAATATCTTTTTGCTTCACAAAAGTTAATGGAAACAAATTTTTCAAATAATCACTCACTTATCAATATGTATAATTTGCCAGCCAAATGCTTTTTAAAAAGTAATAAGTATCTTATAATTATACATTAAAATTTACATGGCATCGTCTCCTAACCCTGGGATTTAAACACCAAATGTTTTAATTCTGAATACAAAGAAACATTCACATACTGAATTTCACAATATTCTGGAACAAGTTACAGTCAAAAGTCAAATGAACAGAACATTCCACTTGCAACTCACACATAGTTGTTACAAAAAAAAATGTAACTCATTGTTCAGAGATGGATTTGTCCATTCATTTCTGCTTGGTTAATTGCTGCTTGATTTCAGTGGTTAAGAGATTTTGGTTGCAGTAAAAATGTCTACTTGTGTGTGAATTCATGACCTCAAAAGCTCAGAGCGACTGGTCTCGCTCCCCAGTGTGTATTTTTCTATCTACAACAGCCCAAGGTGAAACAATCAAATAGATACTTGAACACAGGATTGTTTCATTTCCTGTGGTTTTTTTCTGTGAAAATCTTTCTCCAGGCCCTGGGGAAACACCTATGCATTTTACATCCGGGATTCACTTATTCAGGGCATCTGAGATCACTGTGAGGAAGAAAGAAGGGAGACTAGGTGCGGTGCCCCTCCCCTCCCCTCCCCTCCCCTCCCATCCTCTGATGCCAGTGTCTCACCTGCACCAGGGGAGTCCTGAGCCTCTCTTCTCTCCTGCCTTCCAACACTGATGCAAGTGTCTTCTGACATTCCATGTCAATGCCCAGTGGGCCAAGCCTTCCCAGCAGCCCCAGACTGACCAGGTCCTGTTGAACTTGGATGCACCAGTATTGCAAGGCTGGTCACACTCCAACACCCTCGTGTGTGTGTGTGTGTGTGTGTGTGTGCGTGTGCACGTGTGTGCACATGGGTACCCCATGCTGACTTCCCACTGGATTAGAAACTCAGGCAGAAACTCTGTATATTTCCTTCTCTATTCCACAAGCCCAGTGCAGGGCCTGCCACCTAGGAATTCATGCACCAATGAGGGTGAGAAGACTGCTTACAAAAGGGGTTGTGCCCATCAAATGCAGCTGCAGCCAGGGAACGCCTGCATTCCAAAGCAGCCCGCCATGGGGACAGCCTCCGGTGGCACTGCAGGGAGCCCTGTGAGTCTGCACTTGCTTTGCCTTCCCTCTCCTCTTTCCTTTCGTCCTACTTCTGCCATCTCCCTCCTCAGGCTTCCCTGG